TTACCTTTTTCACTGAAAGCTTATGCATCACTTCCCTGCTCAATCTCTTTCTGTTAAAAGATGGAAACCAATAACCGCTTCACAATTAAGAAAAGTAAATGAAAACCATGTGCTGCAACATGACCCTGTGTCCTTACTTTCCGTTTTCAGAGTATTCTTACATATGTGTTGTGCTCTTATCCCTTGGGTCTTGAATTTCTTAATATATTCATGTGTAGGGTGACCTCTCTTGTGTAAACTAATTTGTCTAAAAATGTTGTGTAAAAATTGTATTATTAGTTCAAGTTTAATTTGTTAGTTAATCTTTGATAATGTGACAATATCATTCATGGGTCACACATTTGCTTGCACTGCATTGAGATGGCATTATATTTAAAGAAAATTAATAGTTTTGAAATTCACAATAATTCTGGATTAGCAAATATATGAAATATATTACTCTAAGAGAGTGCAAAACTTTAAATCAAGTCTCTTCAACCATGCCTTCAGCTCCTCTCTCGACTCTCTACCCCTCCTCGCTCCCTCCCTTCCTTCCCTCCCCTCACCCTGACCATTTCTCCCCTGCTCGGGTCCCGACCCAACTGTCCAGCGCCTTGGGACGTCCTCCCAACGTGAAAGGCGCTCTATAAATGCAATCTTGTTGTTGTTGTTGTTGTATCACTTTATGATATGTGTTTGTAGCCCTCTCCCCAACACCACTAAATGCAGAATATAACATTGGTTTAGTTTAGTCAGATCTACCCCACCCCCAATAATTGGAGTGATTGGTGTTTCAGTCATCATCATACAATATACTAATTCATGACAAGCATATTAATCTATAGATAGAAAATGTTTACTTGTTAATTTCAATGGATATTTTATTGCTGCCAGTGGACACAAGTCACTGTACACTACAAATATGCAGTAGCATTTACATATTCAAATAGAAGATTTTAAACTCATAAATTGGGTCACTTTTTAAACAAATTTGAATCATGGTTATGTTGCCACATCTAATATTTTTCCAAGAGAGATATCTCAGTAAGTCATTAATATGTTGGAACCTCATATCACAAACCTGCACAACCTACATGAACGCAGGCAGGGCTGTTTCCAATTGAAGTCCGGAATAGACTGGTGAAATCTTGACATTTTCTTCACTCACTCTATTAACAGCAGAGATGGCAATCAAGTGTTCAGTGCGCTATTAAATGTGAAGTACTGATTACTTCTAATATTTATTTCAAGGCGCTTACAAATGAGCCAGACTGTTGTAGATTTGAATATGCCAGTATTGAATATTGTACCGTGAAATTATATATTAATTAAATAACACATTTGATTGTAGGCTTCCAGAAAGATTCCAATTCATGATAATATATATTTGATTCAATATATGAATAATGCTTGCTGGTATAACCTATTCTGGGACTGTTCATGGACGACCTCCTAATCAACACAGTCAAAAGTACTGTATATCACAGGTATCCAGCTTTTTTTTTTAAGTTCACAGCATGTAGATTGGTTGAAATATAAATTTAACTGATTGCTAAATCAAAAATAATTACTATGTACCACTGTATCCTTCAACAACAATGCTTGTAACATTACAGAGAGAGTCTAACTCTTTTTGTGATATGGTACTTTTATATTCCAGCCAATTTTATTGCACAATTCTCATTGTCCATTGTGAAAAATAACCTAATTTGGATTTAATGTGTGTAGAGTTGCTACACTTGCACATTCACCATTATGCTCTAGCTGGCAAATGCAGACCTTATTGCCCGTACAATACACCAGAGAGCTGTCTGCAACATTATTTACTCGTTAAAACTTTTTTTTGAGAACATTTCCAGAGTGGACATCAAATTGATTCTCACCACCTACATTCATACCGGCACTTCTCTGGCAAAACCAGCTCCTCAAGGTGGTTTCAACGGTTGTCTCCAGTGTGATTAACGGTCAGATTGTGGACCTTAAACCTGATTTATATTGCATTTTTAGCATTGTTTCTGCGCCAGTTTGTATCCAATTGATACAGAAAGCACAGTATAAATAGAGCATAATAAAATAAATGAGTTCGCATGAAGGACACAATAAGGACATAAACATAGAGGCATACAGACACAGACTCACATACAGCTGACAGGTATATGGACACAGCCACCAGCACAAAGAGAGACATGCACAGACAAAAGACAGATACAGTTACATGGACAAAGAACAGGGAAGAAAGGAGGAACGAAGACGCACAAAAAAAGGCAGCACAAGACACCTGTCATCAATAAGTTAGCGTTTCATCTCTGATGGTAGACTGTCAGTGGACGGGAATATCTAGAAAGCCGTCAGAAAATTATGGACAAATGCAGGTCCTGGGGTTGGGTTGGGTGGGGCTGTGTTGTGTTGGGTGGGGCTGTGCTGTGTTGTGTTGGATGGGGTTGTGTTGGGTGGGGTTGTGTTGTGCTGTGTTGGGTGGGGTTGTGTTGTGTTGGGTGGGGCTGTGCTGTGTTGGGTGGGTCTGTGTTGGGTGGGGTTGTGTTGGGTGGGGTGGGGCTGTGCTGTGTTGGGTGGGGCTGTGCTGTGTTGGGTGGGGCTGTGCTGTGTTGGGTGGGGCTGTGTTGTGTTGGTGCCTGTGTCAGGGACATACTCGCACGCACCAACGCGCGGACATGGGCATGAAATCAACGTGCATTTCCAGCCACGCAGCTTTACCCTCGCACACGGTGACTCTGCCTGCGAGGTGTGTGTGAGTGTGAGTGTGTGTACGTGTTCGCTTGCACTTTGCGCCAAGTAAAACTTGGCCAAACCATACCTGCTGCGGGCGGTCCGCGAAGTTGGAGCCGGGCTGTGTGTGTGTGTGTATGTGTGTGTGTGGGGGGGGAGAGCTGGCAACTGCTTCTCCCCCAATCCCCGGAATCCCCCCTCACCACCACCCCAGACCCCCGGTGCCTCGTGATGACTCCCGCTCTGCCCATCTCGTCTCGTTCATCTGCTCACATTTCACCCACGTGTTTATTAACAGAGATACCGATTTCCCCTGTATCCCCCCCCCCCCCCCCCCACACACACACACACACACTCCACCCCTTGTCCCTTTTTAAAGAAAAAAAATCTTGTTTGTTTCGCTTAGAAAAACAACCAGTTGTTGCAACAGGTAACAAAAAGTACATTTGTTTTACTGATGGATTTGGGAAACACAGACAAATCCAACGACCGCACAAACTGGGCAGCGCAGATACCATCACTTACCCCCTCACCACACACGCACTTACACTAATGGTGATTAAGGACATCAATCGTGATCGAGAACATAAAACCCTACAAGGCTTGAAACTGGTCGGAGGAAAAGAAACAACGGAGTACACGGGTTCTTTCGGCAAACGTTGCGATACTAAAGTGCCGCAAATTTAAACTTAAATTAAAATTTTAAATTAAACTGCGTTTAAAAGTACGCAAATAAATGCCGTTGCCATAGCTCGGTGACAGTGACTGCTCGCCCTTTGCCGGGGCGGGCGGTGGGTGTGCCACTGGGAACTGGGTTCGCTTACTTCACCAAGAATTGACGAATTTAGTTGGGTGGATATCTCTGGAGGATCACACGGGTCCCACTCCTTCCCTGTTTTTAATTGTTAATTCATCTGATCCTATTTCGAATGTCTTGTCAGATGCGCTAAACGACCAGTAATATTTGGTGTTGGGGGGGGAAACACACACACACACACACACACACACACTTGCTGCTTATTGAAACCCCCATGTGAATATTAGTCTACTTTATTTAACCAGGAAACGCTTATCCTCTGTCAATTTATCATAACTGTGTGTGTGTGTGTGTGTGTGCGCGCGCGCGCGCGATAATGTATCCCCCAATTTTTTTACCGATAGAAAACGGGGTGTAAGACCCCACTGCAATCCAAGAGCGAGTCGTTCGGTTGGAAATAATAAGGGATTAGATAAGGAGCATTAAAATATTACACCGCGGCGGATGAAAGAAGATCGAAGCGCAAAGGGCGTGTGTTTGTAATAAGACAGGACAGGCTATTTAGTCTGCGGCACCTCGGTGCTGTGCAGCCCCACACGGTAACACACATCTCATTCAACCAACAGCTGGACTCGCACTTGTGAAACAAGGTTCAGAAATGGTTTATCACATCAGGTTCACGAGAAGGCGACTTGATTGGCACGACACACATCTCAAAAAACACAATTCGCTATAAACTCTCGGGCTTTTTTCCCGTTATGATTAACCCAAGCCAATACCATTCCCATACACTTATAGTAATAAGCAATAATCTCTTGTTTTGTTATCAGCTTTCGGGTGGGGGAGGGGGTGGGGGACGGGGGACGGGGGGGGGGGCGTGTTGTTGATCAACATTTCTTGTTCTATTTGTAAACACTGTTATTTGTGTTCAACTGTTTAATTTTTGAGAATGGATCGGCAAAGTAGCGTGTGCTTTTTTTTCAAATCAAGTGCACTGAAGCCGAATCATGTTCCTCTCGAACGTGTGTCCGTCTAACGAAACTTTCACCGCGGAAGATGCAGCGCATTCTTTCCTTCATCGTTGGTACTTTCGCAGAGAACTGAAGGGTAGTTGGTGTCTTTTGCAAACCGCGGCGCCTCAGAACACTTACAAAGTTGCCGAAATGTCAAAGGGACGTGACAAAGTTTGCAGAGAACAGCCATTGGAGAAAACCTACCAACGAATTACTCTGCTGCACCTGATTAAAATGATAGTTGTTTGCAAAACTAGCATCATCAATTTTGCTCGCCTTGTCGGGTTGATTTCAGTTCAGTTTGTGGAACTAAATGCCAATCAGGGAAGGCAACAGAAGTTTGGGTGAACTGTCGAACATGGCCAGAGATTGATTTGCGCAGTTATTTTTTTTATTCATTCAATAATTAAATCAATACTAAATGTCGATCTGTAATTGAAAAACGACGATCGATCTAAATATCTCAGGGGGAAAGTGCCCAACAAAATTAGAATATCAACCATTTGACATACTGATTTTTTTTATTTATTTCAATATTTTATCTTGCAGTGTATGCTGCAATGAAGTACAATACTTTTTTGGGGGGAAGGGGGACACTTTGGGCAATTCAATCAATCGATACAGTTACCGTCCATGGGTGGGTTTGTTCGGATTGATCCTCGCTGGGGTTACAGATTAAATGTTATCTATTTTTGCTTATATAATATTGAAGAGCAAACCGAAAAAAAAAGGTGATGGGATTTTCCGGAACATCGTTACTGATGGGTTCGTATCTGTGAAAGGCTGAGGTGGAGTGGGGCGGATCGTTTTCAAATCCGCTTGCCTAAGATGAATAGCGTTGGACAGGACAGCCGCAAGAAGGTCATTGCTATTAACTTAAGTACAGCATCCGAACTCCACTTAAACTTACCCAATTACACCTAATGATCTGCAGGGGAAAAACTCGCCCGTGACCTGACCTTCACAACACAACAGTTCATACATACAGTGCCTTATGGCTCAGTCAACAACCGCGCATTCCTTCGCATTATTCCTTTTAATGTTTTTTGGGGGGTTGTGTTTTTCCTCCTCTGTCGGAAAGTGAAATACTGTATTTCCCGCTTTAAAGTGAGAGTTTTCCAGGTAGAACAAGAGCTCCAGACCTTGTCGTTTGCTGTCATGTCTTTCGTTTATACCCTGGGAATGATAGTTATTCTCCTGGTTTAGATTACCTAGAGAAAAGGGGACAAAAATCTGTTTTAAAACGACAGTTTATGTGTAACTACACCAATATTTTTTTAAAAAACGTAATGAATTCAAAATGTATATGAACATGAAATTTCTAATGACATATCTTCAAATTATATGAACTATTTCCGCAGCATTGTAAAATAGTGATTGATTTTGCACTTTGAATACCATGTCTAATTAAATTTACTTTAATCACCTCCTAACTTTATGAAAACGATGAAGGAAATGAAAACACAAGGCTGTGCAGCTTATAGGTAAACGTCAGCCTTTCTCAGTTCTGCAAAATCTACCATGTTTCTTAAATTCGACGTTTGGGGATGATTTCCCACGTTTTGTGTGTAATATTTTAGTCAAGTGCTATTCAATTGCTCAAAGTCACATTAACGGCTAAATGGGAGTTAACAAGTGAATAATTATAATTAATGCAAAATTAATTTTCATCGGTGCTTGGAAAGATCAAGCAATCCCAATACTAGCCATCCTTGCGAGTTCTCAATAGAGTATAAATGCAACAGGATCCAAAATGCGGCTGGAACAAGCTGCCTTCTTCAGAATAATGGAAGGAGTGTAAAATGTTAGCCAACTATCATTCTCCTATAGTGCTCCAACTCTCCCTCCCCCAGATATATATTCACAACATCAGCACGGTTTATTTTTTTTATCGTTTTTTTTCTCCCATACATTATATGCACGGTTGAGTGTGTGAAGCGAGAGACTAATTATTCGCTACTGTGAATAAAATCGCGAAAAGCTACATCTTTAGCATCCCGCCTCTTCAGGGGAGTCTCCACGCAGAAAGGGGAGAGAGAAAGCGGGAGACAATTAGATTTCTCTTTTTAAAATAAAACAAAACAGCTACTGGTAATTGCTTTCAGCATGGACCCAAACTGGGTTTCATTTTTTTTTAAAAGTTGCATTTTATTATGCCAAACCATCTAGATGTTTTTTAAAAATCGCGTAAAAGATAACTTTATTGAAAATCGGCAAATAATACACGATGCAACAAAAGAGGGGAATCACAAAACGACTACACTAATATGTCAATGTGACCATTGTATGGGAGTAAATTAGCGTTCTTTTTGGATGGGATTAAATAAAAGGTTATATCCACAGAATATCGAAAGACTGGAATTTATTACTGGACTATTATGACAAAAAGTCCATAAAGATTTGCCCAATGCTTTGTTACAGTACGCACTAATTGCCTTTTCAAATTAACCTGGCTTGGTGGTTCTAATCCTGGGATAATTGCAATGGAAACACGTTTTAATGACACTCATTAAATGATTCCACTACTTATAAACAAGATGAGCTGGTGTTTAAGAAGCACAGAAGCATAGTCTATTAACATCTAAAATAACTACCTCGATCCACAATTTTGGTTTTTTGTTTACTTTATTCTGGTTAATGTAATTATATTTTTCAAAAAACGGCATCTTGCTTTTCTCTCATGTAGATACGCGCTGTGGTGGATATAAAAGAATTCACTCAAGGGATAAATGGTTTTCTTTATTTATGCGAATTTGCTATGAACGCTACTCGAGCTACAACAAATAAAAATGCAAAAGAGTGTATGTTCGAATACGGGCTGATCCTTATTTATCACGCTTCTGTAAACTTTTTTTAAATATGTAATTCGCATGCGTGAAGATGCTTGTTCTGGACGATACATCGTCCTGTATTTTTTTTACAACAGCAGCAGTGATTAAGAAGTTATCGGCAGTGACCTCCAAATTCCTAGTCCATAATCTCCTTTAAAAGAGCATTCAACCATGCGGCGCTCAAAATCATTTTTTTGGAAGGATCTTTTAAGAATGCACTAAAAAGGAAATAAACACCAGCAATCGCTCCTGATAATTCAGCGGATAACCAGCCCCATCTGACCCCCAAAACAACACATATTAACCTGCAAATCTATTCATTTCGTGAGATTAAACCTAGTTTAAAGACAATGATTGCGCAGAAATGACCAATTGCATATACTCTCTCATTCTGGACACACACTCTATATGTCCATTTCAAAAGTTTACACTTTCGATAATGAAATCGACGCGATCGCCTTTAAAACCTGATAATGTTGGACGCGGCAATATCAAAAGATATTTTGGGGGGGGATGGAAATAGATTATGTTACCGCAATTTAATCCGCTCGTTTAAAAAAAAATGACTGCTGACCTCGACTATTTGGCAAATACACTTTGCATAGATACATAGTTCTGGATGGTATGTATCAGAAATACAATATTTATATGCAATTGGATTGCTACGACCAACCCCGCCAGATAGCGCTAAAGGGCTGTCTAAGAGATGCTTTCAAATTAACTTCTCTGCGACCAGGCAGAACATCTGCAGAAAGTTCGCGTGGCTTGTTTTTTTATATATATATTAGAGCGAGATTGTGGTGGAATATATAGGTACTCGGATAAGTTCGATAACAGTAAATGGAAGGATTTACAGGTAACTGTGTTAAACACTACATCGCCTGCAAAGGACTACCTCCAGGCTGTATTTATACCGGGGTCAGGAAAAGTTCAACATAATCGGCTTCAACTATTTTCCCCCTTTTGGGGGGAAGTGAAGGGAGGGTTCTGTGAAAATAAGTATGCAATATGCAAATCGAAAAAAAATACGATAATTAAATTCTGATATAAGAAGAAATGAACGTTGGCAAAATGGATTCTATAAACTGAATCGTTGTTCGTTTTTTTTTTAAAAAAACACATCTTATCTCCAAATCACAAAACAAAAGTGGGTTCCCAAACTTTTGATACCGCTGTGTGTGAACCATTTACGCAATCCGAGGAAACAGAAATAAATATACAAACAAACCGAGAGTACAAAAAAACAAAATTTAAACTAAAATATTTTCGCCTCGGTGACTTCAAACTCAGTTGCTATAATACGGTTGCGATTGTTTCAAAATTGTTACGATGGCATTTATAATTTCCCATATTATCCATTTGTACCATATATTGTCCTTCTCCATCACTCCGTAGTAAGGTCCAATTATCTTTAATTTAAAACGTCCTTTAACACTTACTGTTTTTACATTTGTGTTCATTATAGCTTAAGTTTTTGTTTACTAATTTTATCTTCGTTTTGACTATAAACGTTATAGAGGAAAAAGGTTGTTTAATTTATACACTGTCTGCACTCATTAATAAAGTTTAAACTGAAAAAAAACTCATGTCAAAAGTTAGTGATATTGCCTTTTCTTCGTGGTGAGAGAACATTAAATAACATTTAAAAGCGGTTCATTTTGTTAAACACTAGAATAAACGCACGATAAAAGATATCGTGAACATGTGCATATCTTTTAACAAAAGATTCTGCATTAGTGAATCAGGATCCAGTCACAGCGTTTTATATATATATATATATTAAAAAATACCTCCACTGTTGGAAATAGCACACACATTGAAGAGGGTGAGGCGCTTCGCTTGTCGTTTTGCGAGTGAATTTAAGGAAGTTTGGGTACATTTACCATTTCGTTGGGTGCACTTGTAGTTCCGACAACAACGGGATCCTCAGCCCTCTGATTGTCTTAGTGGTGTTTTTCTTGAAACAGATACTGAACTCTTAATGAATCTCAACACAGCTGGACTACTCAGACTGAACACTGATAGCTCTAACCCGAAGTTGACCCCAATTTGACACCAGAAGATGAAATTTTACCGGCTGTTAAAGCAATCTTCGGCCAGTCCCTACTATCTGCTTGTTGATGGAGATGCACTCCATAACCGGACACAGATTTGCATTGTTTGAACAGAGCTATTCGATTCCAGTCTTTTTATTGAAACCTCGTAATAAAAGGACGTATTTTAGTATCAAATCTTCAAAGAGAAAAGACACTTCTGTGGTTAAGTACAAACCGCAATCTTGCAAACATTTGTTTTTTTTTCTTCCCCCCCCCCCCCCCACCGCCCCCCCCACCAAAAAAAAACCCCACATTTGTTTAAATGAAACAGATCAAGCGTTTTCTTAGAGAGAAAGCAATTCAAAGTTTTGTAAGAAACGTAAGATTTAATATATTCGGGATTAAGTTGTTACAAAAAAAACTAGCTGGATGGCAAGGAATTAATCTGGTATCGCCGTCAAACGTTAATGATATCAAGCGAGACACGTTGCAGAAATGTAATTCAAGAGCTAAAAGCCTGTATTTGAATTCTATTATTTTACAGCCACCCATTGTGAATCTTTAGAAAAAAANCGTGAGACCTCTTTTTTTACTTTAAAGTAGTTCCGTATTGTGTAAGAAATCAAGTGAAAACGTTTCAAGTTTATTTGTATCAACTGAGTATTCTTCATTGAATGAAGAAGAACAGTCTTTCAGCATAAGTGACGCCTTATAATACAAATCCTTTGTTTTACAATAATATGAGCCACCCCTTTCTGTTTGAAATAAAACTTTTTGTGCCTGGACACGAAAACTAAATGAGAATTCGGTGTCACATTAGATATTAACATCTGGTTAATTTTATTACGTGTGTTATTTGCGGGGAGAACAGCATATGAAATTTGCCGATATATAAGATAAAATACCCAGCAATGTAACTCCATGGATACGTATTATATGCCTTACAGATTTATCTATACGCACTGTTTGAATATTTAATTCGCGCTCGTATGTTTAAGAGACAAACATATTAAAAAATTACGCAATTTATAATGCTATCATAGAAATGGTTAACTGATATGGGACAATACGGCAGCCAACGCCATTTACAAAAAATGAGTCGGAACAAATGCATTTTCAATAGTCACCGATGACTGTCACACAACATTTACTTTTATTTATCACTTCAAAAGCTCCTACTCATCGCTGTTTCAAGCACATCGGTTCAGTGCTTTATAAAGGTTTGCAATTTGCAAACGTTTGTCCCCCAGTTTCGAGTTCCCATCAGGAACCCTTATTGCCATTATCGATGAGGTGAAAATTCACGGGCGGCTCTCGAATTAAAACCCCGGCTCCATTATAGCGTGTTACAGCGAAGCTACGTTTCCACTCTATACACCCACCTTCCCCTGCGTTGGGTAGTCAGTTACAATAGACGCAAATTAAAACAGATTAATAATGTTTAGCTGCACGATTAGGCAGGGACATGACAACTTTACAGTTTGTACTTTCTTTTTGGAAATAAACGCCTGTCTTGTTAGTGAAACACACTTACCACGAAGGACTCGGGTTTACTTACCGTTCTGTGTAGGACAAGTCAAGTCGCCAGTACAGTTTACCAGAAGAATGCTTAGTTGAAGACCGTCTTGCAAAGCTGCTGGATCTTCATTAGCTGTAAGCCCCAGTTTTCTCTTTAAAGAGGGGGGAAACAATGCGTAAAAGTATTTGAGAGCGAATTTTCGATGATGTCCTAGATTGTCAACAGTCCCTGGTATGTTCAGGCAGGAGTATGTTGGAATGCCCACTGGCGCTTGTCAACCGCTGCACTATCTTACTTTTTTATGTGAGGGGTGTTTTCCCAAACATCATTGTTGTTATGATGTCTCGTTTAATCAAACTGTTTAATTGCAGTGGTTATCACTATCATCATCCTCTTAATCATTCATCTTTTTTTTTGCTTTATTGACCTTTGAAGCTGCAATGTTATTATGCCCCTATGTCCATAAAAAAAAGTGCACATTTCTGCCCGGCTTGACAAAGTCGTGATTCATGTTTAATTTTGGAAATCAAATATCCTCTAGACAATGTATTTTGCCATTTTGTGAAACCATCGATATATGATGTCACATGCACAAAAGCGTGCATGTCCATTGATGAAGCCAGATATTAAACGGGGTAGTCTGCTTTGGCCTTTGTGCGCAAGGGACCATGAACGAGAGGGGCTACAATCGATGGGTCGACCATTGCTCCGCCCCTTAACTTCTTGCATCCCCAGTGATTGATGATCGGATGAAGCTATGATAATTGACTGCCATGATGTACGGCTGGGTGCATGAATTTGGATCCAGCCAAAGGATTGGATGAGACACACAAAATTACTTTCCCTGCAAAGCTCTTTTTTTTTTGGAAAAGTTCATTTGCGCTCAAGGGGTGCGGGATCACACTTAATTTGCTAAATAACCCCAGTGCAATTAGGAAGACCATTATCAGGAATTACTGTGATAATGCCTCGGTGTACACTAGAAACAACAACAAAGATAGAAAAGGTAAACTCCAGAAAGCAAACTCATACACTGAATGACTGAAAGGAAAGACAATTTTAAAGCCTGTTGAACTTCAGCCACTTCATTCGATTTTGTTAAAAACCAACATTACCTTTCTGAAGTAATCATATCCCAAATAGAATTACTGGTCGGTTTCATAAACACAATTAGCTAATGAACTCTGTACCTGATCTTATAGTTTTCAAACTGGTCGATCAAAAAAAAAGGATTTTGATTAGTTGATGTTACATTTCATGGGGTGGGGGGGGGAATAAATCCCCAGAAAAAAAAAGAGACTTGTTTTAAGAAAGAACGCTCTAGCAACGCACTGTGGTTCTTACCTTAACTCTGACTGACAAGTTTTAAAAGGGGGTGTGTGGGGCAACTAAATATCAACAACTTTTTTTGGGTTACGAGAGAAAGAGAGAGAGAGAGAGAGAGAGAGAGCTAATAAAATAAGAGAGACTGTGAACCTTGTTAGAATAAGATAAAAACTGATTGATTTAGAGATGTGTTTTATAACCTGATTTTTTTTTTGCACACAGTGGGAGGGGGGGGGGGGGTGAGGGAGGAGAGAGAGAGAGAGAGGGAGGGAGAGGGAGGGAGGGGGAGAGAGGGAGTGAAGTGAGGGGAGGGGAAGGCAAGAGAAGGGAGGTGGGTGAGTGTTTTTTTTTTTTGGCTTCCCCCATAACTTGCAGCAGTCCGACTGCATACTCTGCATATCAGAGCCGGGCTGGCGTACGACTGGCTATGGCCACCACTACTTCCGGGTTCCGTCATTCTCCCGCCGCCGCCGCTCAGCGCTGCCAGCGCATTATTACTGACAACACACTCATTCTGTAACCAACCAACCTCCCAACCTGCCACCTCCTCAATACTCACTGACAGCCACTTATTCAAACAAACAAAAAAAAAACTACGAAAAGAGAAGCCGAATTCTGCTGCTTTTTTTTTTGTTGCCATCCCCTCTCTCTACTCCTACTACTACTACTACTACCACCACCACAACTACTACTCCTCTTCTACTCCTTCTTCTTCTCCTTCTCCTCCTCCTCCTCCTTCTTCTTGTTTTTTTTAAAAAAACTCCTCGTGAAAGGTTTTTTTTTCACATCGCTTCTTTTTTTTGCAGCAGCAGCAAGCAAGCGAGCAAGCAAGCAGAGAGAGAGAGAGAGAGAGCAAGCGAGCAGCAGTGTGTGTGTGTGTGTGTGAGTGTCTGCGTGTGTGTGTGTGTGTGTGTGTTTTTTTAAAAAAACAACCCCAAAAAAAAAGATAGCGGTCCAAAAGGCAAGTCGGAGTTGTTGCAACGGCAGAACATCATTCATTCAATACCTTGACAACCCTGCTCTGATTGACAGCTGGAGTGGCAAAAAGCCATGAGAGACGACAGTTTTGTTACAAGCGGGCTGTTGACGGGCCGATCGTAACCTTCAGTAATTTTTTTTTTTTTTTTTGGCTTGACATTTTTTTTTGCTGCTGCTTCTTCTTCTGCTTCTTCTTCTACTACTACTGCTACTACTACTACTGCTGCTGCTGTTGCTGCTGCTGCTGCTGCTGGAAAAGAAAGGACACACACACACAAAAAAAGAGGGAGAGAGAGAAAGAGAGAGAGAGGAGGAGGAGGAGGAGGAAGAGAGTACGAGAGAGAGACAGAGAGAGAGAAAGAGAGAGACAGAGTGTGTGTGTGAGAGAGAGAGAGAGAGAGAAGAAAAAAAAGGACAAACTCCCCCCTTGGCCCGCTTTTAAACTGCGATAGTGGAGAGGATAGCAGAAGTCGGAAACTGTATTGGAAAAAAAAAGGGAATCTCGTTGAACCACTACTAACTGGACTGGGGAATTTTTTACACAGAAGACACATCCACGAGTATAGGAGCGCAGACTGATGGCGCAGAGGGTAGGTTTTTTTTTAATCTTGCAACACTCACCTATCGGATAATCCTCTATCTGTGGGCCTGCCCGATTCCTCTGATGTAGTAATGATGGCGGCCCATCTATCTATCTATCTATCTATCTATCTATCCATCTATTTGTTTTAACCAAAAAAATCTGTTTTAATAGCAAAAGTATGATGTGCACCAGCACGCTCTCTTCTGCTCTGTGGTTGCTCGCAAGTCTGCGGTGTGTTTTTGTTTTAAATGCCCTTATTCTGTTGCATTTCTCTATCTCTCTCTCTTTCTCTCGCTCTCTTTCTCTCTGATCTTTACGGTTGCTTTTCTTTGATGCAGTACGATGAACTTCCTCATTACGGTGGGATGGATGGAGTTGGGGTCCCGGCGTCCATGTATGGAGACCCTCACGCCCCCCGGCCGATCCCTCCAGTTCACCACCTCAACCACGGCCCGCCGCTCCACAGCCAACACTACGGGCCACATGCACCTCATCCCAATGTCATGCCCACAAGCATGGGCTCTGCTGTCAACGATGCCCTGAAGAGAGATAAAGATGCAATTTATGGGTAGGTCATAAAATATATGGAAAAAACACACACACACACACACACACACACAGACGCACCCCCCCCCCCCCACCACCACCACCACCACCACACACAACAACAACAACAACAACAACACTTTGGACACACCAGTCGGCCAGAGAAAAAGAAGGGAAAGGAAATAAAACAGCAACTTCGAGTTTTGCAAACCATCCAAGGCGAATCGAAAAGAAGAAAACATGGGAAGTTCAGGAGGAAAAGGGGGGTGGGGGGGGGGTGGGGGGGCGGTGGGGTGGGGGGGAAAGTGCCTGTATGTGTTTTGAAAAGTTTTAACATTGCGAACTTCGTATCAATATTTTCAGCGCGGACACACTCACACACACACACACACACACACACACATATATATATATATACTTACACAGTCACATAGTATATTATCTGGAGTTAGTGGGAGGAAGATTGCTGTTTTTTTCACCCCTTAGCGTTATTATTTTTTCGTCCCCCCCCCACACCCACAACGTTTTTTTATGGTTACAGCTTTCTGGGGTGACCGGAAGCTGGAAGTTTTTTTGGGGTGGGAAAAAAACACACTGTTTCTGTTGTTGTTAAGTTATATTTTACTTCAAAATGGCTGCTGCTTTTTGTTGCTTTAAGTTGAAGGTGAACAACTTGTATGGGGTGGTGGTGGTGGGTGGGGGGGAGAGAGAAAAAAAAAAGCTTTTAAAAATCCCACACTTCCAAAGTACTGCCTGGCGGTGCTTCTCGTTAAAGGCCGATTCTGCTGCTCTCATTTGCCTTAAAAGTGCGTTGTGTTTGGGGGTGTTGTGTGTGTGTGTGTGGGGGGGGGGGTTGGGGGGAGGAGGAGGTGAGGAGGGGGTGTGTGTGTGTTGGGGGGTGGGGGTCAACCAGGGGAATGGGGAGCACATAAAGCTCTTTATAATGTCAGGGGAACCAGCACTGAGCTTGTTTCATTTTTTTACCCCCCACCCCACTCTCCCACCTCTCTCCCCCCCTTAGACATCACACACAGATAGATTTAAGGGATTCTTGTGCTTCCAGACTAAAACAATTTGACCGAAATCATCCTCGTCTTGTGTTGCAGGCATCCTTTATTCCCTCTCTTAGCTTTGGTGTTTGAGAAATGCGAGTTAGCGACCTGCACTCCCCGGGAACCCGGCGTCGCAGGCGGCGACGTGTGCTCGTCTGACTCGTTTAACGAGGACATAGCAGTATTCGCAAAGCAGGTCTAACATTTCATCTTATTCCTTGCAAAACCCAGAAACAAAAAAAAACGCTTCGTAGCTTTCTTTCTTTTTTTTTTGGAAATAAAATGATGCCATCGCCTGTTTTTTTTGTGTTGTTGGCAGCACTCACTTGCAACAGTGGTGCTGTGCGGCAGTTTAAAACCTTAATGTTTTTAGGTGTGTGCTTGTGAAACGCTCAGTGATTTTTTTTTCTGTAAAGTATGTTAATAAACGTGTCAAATTACAAGTAATTACTTATCATTTATGCACTAATTGTATTGCACACTCTTTATTTATAAAGCCTGCTTTGCCCCGTGGAGAGACTTTTTAAGTTTTGTTTTGGAAAAGAAAGTCCAAAAGCATTTAGTTTTCCCAACTCTGAATACATTCCATTCAACTAATCTATTTAACTTCTTGTTAGGTTCGCGCAGAAAAACCACTATTTTCCTCAAACCCAGAGTTGGATAACTTGGTAAGGATATTGCGAATTTTATTATTTCGACTTTTTTTATGCAAAAAAAAGAGGACTTGGGCTTTATAATACATCGCACGTGGTTGATGCTGGTGCAGGGGACACACTCTCTGTGACTTTTAGAACCACTATTTTTTTTTGGTGGTGGGGGGGGGGTTTAATCACTATAACCTTAGAACAAATGCACCTTTTTTTTCCCCCCCTCTAAAGTGTTGCTGTGAAGTGTGCACTGAAATGCTTGTAGCGTGAAAGACTGGCATTGCTCACCGCTCCTCAGCCGCGGGAGGCTGGGGGTTTAGGAAACAACTGCTTAGCGAGAGAGGCACTTCAGCATTCCCCGCACTTTCGACACGATTATTTTGCTAATTTGGACGATTTAAATTTTAAAAGATCCTAAAGCCGATTTCAAAGGCCCTTTGAAGAGATTTCTCATTCGTCTGGAGCGCTCCCCCTTGTTATTCCGACGTTAGCCTCTCTTTGTACTAAAGTGCTTGGATGGATGTAGTGCATATTTTTTTCCCCCCAAAAGTTAACTTTTTTGCTCACAATCAAAAGGCAAATGCGGTTTCACTCCACGCAGATAGAACGGTAAAGTCGTTTTTTTAAAAAAAATATTAAAGTGAAACACTTTTTCCGGATTATAAACGCTTCGCTATGTTGTAAGATATGTTCCCCATGTCAAATACTTTCGCTGATGAGAGCATTGGGGGTGGGGGTGCTCGTTGGAAGGCTTATGCAGACGCGATATATATATATTTTCTCTAACATAACTAATACACCTTATGAACTTACAGATGATCCAAGCTATACAAGTATTACGGTTTCATCTTTTGGAGTTAGAAAAGGTAAACACGAAGTTTTTTTTTTAATTTGCCCTCTCCACTCAGCCCTTTGCAATGCTCATGAAACGTATCATACTGTTGAAGCGCACAATTTCTTTCAATGATTGTACAATTTGATATGAATGAGACTTGATTAAGTTGATTACAGATCACGAAACTGAAACCCAGAGCGTGTGTCTGTATCTGAGGAAATATTGCAAAATGTGAACTGACAGCATTGCTGGTCTTTTCTGAGCGCGTCTGATTTTTCCCTGAAATAAAACCCAAACAGAATCCATGGACAGGTTAATTGCCTGGTCTTTGTACTTTTTTTTCTATTTAAAAAAAAAGGATCTTGTCTTTTGAATACCACGAGACGTTTAGTTTGGACGGGTCCCAGCCTTAAGTTTCACAGATCGCGCTTTTTTTCTCTTTGAAATGTATTCGAGTTGGAACCTTCGTCCAACGTTACAGTGTTGCGAAAGCCTTTTACATCGTCAAAATTGGAAGTGTTCAATGACTTCAGTCGAACAAAACGCTTCATTGGTTTACAAATAATGTGCGGAGTAAAACAAAAGGTCCGAACGCAAATACCTTTCCATTGTCATTGTTGACCGTTCAGAATCAGGAAACGTGAATTGAGTAAATCAGTAAAATATGGGTGAAACATTGTGAGCAAATAGTCATAAAGCGACATTTTAGGCCGCTTTACAGTAGCTGCGATCATATTGGGATGCGTGTCTCCAATTTGTTTCCTCAAACACAAAACACTCGAGGTTTCAGCTCTCATAACCGATCCGATCCGATAGGGAGGTGATGTGTTTATTTCATTCAAACCGTTTATTTGATCATCTTTTAACTCCGTATTTTGTCTTTACTTCATATACTTGTTGCTTCAGTCTCTGGAGAATAATAAGTGCACCAACAATTTTGCTATTGTTTCCTCGACTTCAGTAATAACAGCGCATTGCAATAACAGCTTTCCACTGCACAGCTCCACTATTCCGACAGTGCTTCTGATTTCTGAAATCTTTGCGATCTGCTGTGGTTTTTTTTTCAGGTTCACGAGTTATGTGATAACTTCTGTCATCGGTACATTAGTTGTTTAAAAGGAAAAATGCCAATAGATTTAGTAATTGACGAGCGAGATGGGAGTTCAAAATCTGACCAGGAAGAGTTGTCAGGGTCTTCTACAAATTTAGCGGAACATGTAAGTCAAGTCTTTTTTTTTCTATTCGATGAGCTTTGCGGGGAGAGCGCAGCCGAGTTGTGTTGTTAACGCCTCGGAATGTTTTACCTGTTGTGGTCGATGCTTTTTGGGTGTGTTTTTGCACTGTCTGTTACTTTCGGTTGTCGTTACTTTTTCTTGTGGTCAGTCTTGAAAGTTTCGCCGTGTTGTCAGATTGATCTATTTTTTTTAAAAAAAACGTTCAAGGCCTGTTAGGCTGATGTGATCGCTGTGTAACTTTTTTTGGGGGCATTTTCAACTCTTCTTGACGTGCTGATTCCCCGCGTGTATTTAGCACTGACTCCGCGAATCGCTTTGCGGATGGTGTAGCAGTCACTGGGCAATGGGTGTAAAGGTTGTTGGAGTTAGTGCATTTAGTACGGTTATGCAATTAGTGGCCACACACAAAAAAAAAATCCGCATTTTGGCATTGGACGCTTTGCTACGATATCTATTCTTGCGGAAAGCATTGGCAGCCGTAAAAAAAAAATATCATTTTACACTCTTTCTGGCGAAGATTGTGTTCGGTTGTGGCGAGGTTATAAATAAAAGGTTATTTTTTTTATTTAAAAAAAAGCATTTGCACGTGCTGTGAAATTTTGGTGGTACCAGTACTTGTATTTCATTATTCAGACTGATCAATATCTGGCCATGTGTTAAGATGCCCCGATGAAATTGACATAGTCGCCACAGGATTGTCAGTGAATTGCTTTAATGATACTGTAAAGTTAACCTAAGTATGCAGTTGGTTTTGATGATGCTTTCGCACAAATGAGCTATGATTTGATGGGTCTTTTGGAAGAGACACGCCGAGTTTAGTGCCTGCCTGTGCGCTGTTGAGCTTGTGGTTCAAAGTTGGGAGAAAAGAGAAAGAAAGGCATTGGGGGGCTTTTAAATGGGTCTCGGCTGGACTCGAGAGTCAAATCACAGTGCGCGTTTAATATCGCCGAAGTGTAAGAAAACATTTACAGTGGATATGTATCAGGAGAATGACAACTGAAGGTGTAGAGGGATAGAACTGATAGGTGCATTTAACATGCTAAACCAGAGTATACCCCCAAGAGGATTAAGAAACTGCAGGATTTTCTGGAATCTCTCCCAGCTACATTTGAAGGGTTACCTGGGGATGAGCTATAGGTGTGGAAAATACATTACGGCACTTAGAACCCCCTCGGTCACAGGGGAGGCTGCAGTGTAGGATCCAGTCCTGAAATGCACCAATATCTTGTAGCACAAAGAATTACATTGTCGTGTCATTTGAAATGACCGCAATAGACATTTTTTTTTACCTTCACTGATAATAGCAACAATAGATTTGGAGACTTGATTGGCACGGGAAAACAAAACACGCATACAATGAGAGCTAAGGACACTTAGGTCAGACTTTTTTTTAATAAAAAATACATTTATGCTTTGGTATCAATCGTGTTTGGAAAATGAGTTTAAATTATTGAGTTTATTTTTGGAAAAAAAATCTCTTATTCGGTATAAAGGACAAATGATTGAAAAAAAAGTCAGGCTAATACTTCACTATCTGTATAAAATGGTTTTGCTCTATCTTAAATAAGAACAGATTTACTTTCATGTTGATGTGTAGAAATGAAGCATACTAGTGTTTATACAGAAGAGATTAGATAAACTAGCCTGTTTAGGTTACTGGCAGATGGCAGATGCTATAGTCAATTTACTGTGTTCCATTAAAAAATTCTAATTTACACACTGTAATGGGATGAGGTTGGGAGGTTAACATTTTGATAATATGATAACTGTAGTTTTAGTTACAGTAGTGCAACATTCTGAACACAAAACAGACCAAATATAACAACCCATTTATCTCACACCCGTTAGGGTTTACCACTTCATTAAGTATTATAATTTAGAGCCTTTATTTCCTGGTGATTTCAACTATGAAAATTTTTACATCAAACCCCCTGCCATTTGTTTTCAAAGGGGCATTAATTTGAGCAACCAGCACACCAGCAGGGAGATCCAGAGATGTATGAAAAATATTCACAACTATACTTGGTATTTTGTTGAAAGGGCTCTGGTTATGCATTGCTCATTTTACTGTTTCATTGAAATCATGTTGATATATACTTTTGTGACTTTAACTATTTGAATTTAGTTATGTTGTGGTCAAGGTGATGTTCCACTTGCTCATATATTGTTTAAAAATTCCCTGTGGTAGCTTGCGGCAGCTTGATTTCTGCTAGGAGTCTAGTAGGTAGGAACAGAGGAAACAGGACTTGGAAGAAAAGGGCTAGGTGATCTGGTGGAAAGATAAAGGTAAAGGAAAGTAAACAATGAAAATCTGTTGTTTTCAGTGCATTTGTTGGTAATTTCTTGTGTCCCTTTGGTCACAGAAAGGAGCACTGCATGTTCTGAGTGATAGTTGAATATGGTAATTTATTTAGTTTCACTCCTCAGGTCTGTTTTTTCTTTGCTTTGATATGCATTTTTAATACATAACCCAAGGCTCAATCTCAATTGGTGAAAGTTAGTACATTGATGATGAAGAAGTATTTCAAAGGATTTGAGACAGCATGTAGTCTTCCCTGTTTACCTGGTGTGTAGCCATTCTCTTCCATGGATGTACTGTATTGTTTTATTTGCACGTGAAATGGTTGGAGTGTTTGAACTGATTTAGGTCTTGAATAGTACCAAATGAAAGGAAATGTGTTTTAATTTGTTGTGAGCCAGGATTGCCTTCATTATGGAAGTGACAGATCTGTGACAGCTGCTTGACACCCCAAAAGCACACACCTCTCCTTGCCTATTCAGTGGTGTCAATCTGCCACATGAGGAGAGAGATACAACTGCTTGATGACTGCTAAATCCTTATGAAGATATTTTGTGCAGGGATGGGGTATATCTACATATGGCTATATAGCTCCATGCATACAATGTTATTTCACAGATCTAGGACAGATTTTCCTTGCCCTTTAATCTGCGAAGTTGCACTCAGCTTTCATTCATTCATTTACAATTTCAAGTGACAACATTTTAGTATCATTTTCATTGCTTTTTTAAATAGTCGTCAAAATATAAAACTGTCTACAATCTGATATTAATTCATTTCTAATCTATTTCCTTAAGCACCTTTGGCTGTAAGCGAGGTGCAAAAAGACTTTTCCAAAGACTTGAAGCAGCTCCAAGACAGGTTTATATACAGTTGTAGCTTTACCTTTTGTTCTACACAAAAGCTTTTTATTTCTTGAATTAAGTATAATTTATTGACCTGCGTTACAAAACAAAGTCTACGTTTACCGATTGCTTTGCTTTAAATCAACCTATAATTAATCTATACTTGAGAAGGCAGTTCAAATATATTAATTCACAATCTCCTTAATAACTACTTTTCTTTAATTTCACTCAAGGGTCAATTGTATGTGCAAGCATCAATTGCTAAAAATTGCTTGCTGCATCATTTCTGGCCACAATGCACAGACATAAGGTCAGTTCAGACTTTAATATGTGCACAGCAGAGTTCTGTGCACTAATCACACACACTATGGATACACTTGATCAACATCGTATTTGGGTTTTGCATCACCAAAGCAACTGCTCATAATTCTAATTTTCTGTTCTCACATCGTGCTAACTCATTCTGTGAGCGGCCTGAGAAAAAGCACACAACTATGCAGTTTGGGCTGAAACACTTGATTGTCCAGCGCCTTGGGACGTCCTCCCGACATGAAAGGCGCTATACAAATGTAATTTTGTTGTTGTTGTTGTTGGCACTTTCTAATCGAGAAACAACTCAAGCAGATTTTTTCCAACCGCTTCTTTTAAAACATTCTCCCACCAGAGTAGTATCAAGTTCAATAGAAAATATATTTTGTTGGCAACAGTTTTCAATATTTCTATTCGTTTTTCACAACTTTTTTTAAAAAAAACACTAGTGTGTGTTTTCCAGCATCATCTCTGAGTAGCCGTGTGTAAGTGAATCCTGCTTTGCTTGTAGGATATGCAGCTGCGGCCCATTGAAATAGTACATGTCGAAAGCAAGTGATAGTGTTGGTGGTAACATGGATCGCATGATTTGTTTAATAACTGTGCATTGACTTTATGTGCTCGTTAATGAATTTCACTTTTCTGGACTGTGCTAGAGTGTATCTATTGGTCCAACTTTACAGACGTACTGACAATTAACCCAGATGAATGTGTAAATTAAGGAAACTTTTAAAAATGCCTTAATTCATATCAACCTTCTCTTTTATTAATACAACTTTGAATTGCAACTACAGAATATAAATCATCCACCAATATGAAAACTTGATATCATGCTAATCTTTTTAAGCAAGTCTTTATCAGTGTCAATTTATTTTGCAACCTTCTGAATAAGTGCACTATTCAATTAGATTTTTTTTAAAGTATTTAATTGAAACATTAATTACATTAAGGTTTAATCACAAAAAACATTTCTATGAATTTGAGTAAATTCTATCAACACGATTCCACATTCAAAATACTTCGGAATGCTTCCCCATTGCAAGCTGCTCTGTTCCATTTACCCTCAGCTGGGCAAGTGAGATCGTTTGGGTCTGCAGACTCATCCATAATAGCACTGAATGCCGTTCCATAAATAGCTGGCCCTAGTTGTGATTCAGCTGCAATGAGCTGGACAGTGTCTGTATTTTCCAAGATTAAATCAATTGCAATATTATGCGGCGCTCCATCTGGTGGCCTGGCTAAGGAGTGACAAAATTCACCCAACAAGAGACTGTTCGAATGACGGGGAGCCCTAATACTTGAACTCATAGTCAACAGATTGGGAATCAGCTGCTTGCTCTGTGGTGTCATATTTGAAGCACTGATTTATATTTAGCTGTATAGGGATGTCACAATATGATTGTTCTAACTGTATAGTAAATCATCTAAAAAATCGCCCAATATATTGATTATTGGGAAACATTCTAAACAAAATTGTTTCTTCCATTCTTTTTCATGGAAATTCAACCAACCTTTGTCCAGTCAAATAT